TTAAATTATTGGAGTTTTTATTATTTAGTAACAATAGTGCAATTGCGTGTTTAACGAATGTGGAAGGTGTAGTAGAATTTTATTTTTCTGAAAAGTAAAATTCAAAAATAAAATCCATTAAAATTATGAAAACGTTTTAGGTAAACGGGGAAGACGGCAATGGAAAATAATGGACAATCGTAATAAGTTTTGTGTGAAATGTGGAAGGACTTTTACACGTACCGACAACCTTCGCAGACATGTGAAATATGTTTGCGGGGTGGCACCACAATTCAAATGTGACTTCTGTCCCTTTATAACAAAACACAAATACGTTTATGCGCAACATATTAAAAACAGACATACCATTTTCGAAAACATTTCTTATAGACAATAAGCAATCGCTACTAATACTTACCTAGGTACCTTTTAGGAAAATTGGAGGACTAAAATAAATTATATATGATACGAATAATATAAGGGATAGCTATAAATATTTTATATTTTGTAAATTGACGATTTTATTAAACAATCTCAGCAGCAATACTTTTAGTTGTTTCATTATATGCATATATTTTTACAGAATGTCCTAATATTTTTTCTTATATCCTTGTCCGTATTGAGCTTTTAATTCATTTTAATTTCAGTAGGTAGTACAAATTATGTACTATACAAAAAAACAAATGAGTACGAAAAATTGGAAGAAGCCATCTCAGAAAAAAAAACACTTAATTACAAATGTTAGTCAGTAGTGGTGACATAATTCCTTTAAATATGTGTGTGTAGAATAATTTGTAGATGTGTTTTGTTTTTGCTGCATGTGTTTTATTGGTTAATTTTATTTCGTTTTGTGGTAAAATGTAACGCATTTTCAGGACTGCTGTTCAATATCTACAATTCGAATTCTAAGAGAATGAAGCACTTTTGCGGCGTCTGCCAAAAGCATTTCTCCAGAAGAGACCATTTGACTCGGCATCAAAAAGAGCAACACAGTTTGCTGCTTGACGAAAAATCCGTGGGATTTTTGTGTTTCACTTGTCAGAAGCTTTTTAAACGGAAGGAACATTTGAAAAGGCATTTGTCAGTTTGTGCAGTCGAGGGAGACGTGTATATATGTCCTTCGTGTGCTTGCACGTTTAAAAATGAGATGGCGTTGCGCCTACATCTCCAAGAGCATGACGATGTGTCCGATACCAACAATGACTTAATTAGAGAACAGAAACCTAAATTAGGTCCAGTTTCCGTGTCGACAGTTTAAAATAATTGATGTAGGACAGGGTTATTTAATACATAGGTATAAATAGACATGTATTGCTTTTCTTTCAGTTTGCGTATTGTAAAGGCATTGTTAAATTGAAATTGAAGTTACTTGTATGAGCCAAAGTAATAACATTATTTAATTTTATGATCGACTAACGTTAATCACTTTATTTTATAATCTAATGTTGCCTTTACAATAGTTTTATTTTTATCATAAGCCAAAATGGTGTTATCCTGAAGGATAGGTAGATACCTATTAAAATTCTTGAACGGAAAATTATTAAACTGTAGAGAATTTTGATACGAAAAATCTACCCGTATAATTATTTTGATATTTATAAGGTACTTTATAGTATAGAAGCATAAATTTTATTGCTACTTAATGCGTATTGACAAAACATTATTCTCAAGCCTTTTGTCTGAATCTACCTCTAATAATGTTGAAGGAGCTCTGTTGTTTTTCGATATATCATAAATACATTTTTCTCATGTAACCTAATTTTGTAACAATTTTGTGTAGTGCATCTTGTGAATTGATTTTGATTTAAAGTGTAGTGATAATGTATGTTTGTAGTTTTCTTAAATTATAAAATGAAAAAGGGGTTTTCTTTTATTTTTCTTTCGATAATTAACAAGTACTTCAATTATGACATCTGCAAGGACAAAACGTGAAGAAAAAAAATAATTGCAGAATTCGTAATTAAATTTGTATATAAATTAGTTAATTTTTTGAACGCAACTTATATTGGTAAATATGCTGTTGTAGCGTTCCTTCTGTTCCCTTTAATACATTATCTTTTTTAGATTCGTCAGATCAGCGGTATTATTGCGTGAATTGTCACAAAAATTACAAACACAAGCGACACCTTAGAAGCCACTTGAATTACGAATGTGGAAAACAGAAGCAGTTTCAATGTTCAATTTGCCAGAAGAGATTTTATCAAAGATACACCCTGAATGCTCACTATAGGCATACCCATTTTGTATCTAATTATTAAAAAGACGGAATCATCTGTGGTTTTCTGGTCTAATTATTAGAAAGAGTGAGTCCAGTGTGAGTTACCCTAATGGTCGCAGATATGCTATGAGCGCGTGGCTACGATCGCAGCTAGAATTTACCCTGTTTTGAGAGTCACGCGGCAATCCGCTCATGCATCCACACATGTGGCGAGTAGTACAACGGTACCATGCGCCGTTGGAATATTCGCCCACTGTGGGGCAGGTCTACGGTCTGGTATTTTAATTAGTCACTCGAAAATCCGTGTGGCGAGCAGAATAAATGCTCGCCGCGCTATGCGATGTGCCTGCACTTAATGTACTGTCAGAAGTCGTTTTCTTTACGTTTACATATACCTACTTATTATATTTCATTAGTATGACAAAATTAGAATGTATTAATTTATACCTAGCAACCATTAAATCTCTGTAAATTAATTTTGTATCAATAAATGGGTGGATGTTTCTTATTTATTGATTTAATACCAAAAATATGTGTTTCCGATTTGTACGCTTTCTTAAACATATTTGGCTATGTTTTATTGTAGCAAAATTTTTATTTGTGTACTTAATACTACGTACATCTATTCTAAGTAATGAATAATATAGATAATTTTTTAGGTAGAGTGGGATGGGATAGACTGTTTATTGATGAGCGCTATCACTGTTACAATTGCAACAAAAGTTACAAACATAAAAGTCATCTAAGCAGTCATATAAGGTATGAATGTGGCAAGCAGGAACAGTTTCAGTGTATTCTGTGTCATAAGAGGTTCTTTCAACGATATATGCTCAATAAACACATGAGACGTAGACATTAATATTTATTAGATCGCTTATAAGTTCCTGTTATATTTTACTATTTTGCCTTAGACAACAAAATGTTAGATTACAGACATCTTAATGTGTTAGGTACGCATGTGACGATCTGTGCCCTTTTTCCGTCAATTAACACTAATTGTGCGATAGTTTTCGCTAGTATTTTTGTAAGTTATTTTTTTCGTATCAATAAATGGGTAATTTGAAATGGTTCAATTAATTTTTTTCCTTGGTTGCATTGAAAGTATAGTATTTGTAGATGATAATAACAAACGATTGACAGATATTGATTTTCAGGTAGCAATCCGGGAAATGCTCAACGTTTTTTCTGTTCTCGTTGCAGTAAAAGTTATAAGTACAAAAGTCACCTGTCCAGTCACTTAATCTACGAATGTGGTAAGAAGAAACAGTTTCAGTGTAACTTGTGCCACAAACGTTTTTTTCAACGGTACATGCTTAATGCCCATTGCAGACATTTACATTTTACACAACAACAACAGCAATAATAAATGCAGTTTTTATGTACATATGCAATAATTTATTGTTTATACTTATTTTCTTTTCATTATTGTAAAAGTCTGACTGATGATAAAGTATATAGTATAAATATGTTGTATTATTATGTAAAGGTGAAATATTCAAACATTAATTTAAAAAAANGTTATTTTTATTATTATTATAGTTTAAAAGTGTAGTGTTTTACAGGAATTTTATTATTTTATTCAAAACCATATGAAACAGTTAATATAGGGATTAACAATTCTTTCAAACTAAAACAGAATTTTCAATTATTAAAGACAGCGCTTTGTTATTGTTTACCTGTTCAAATATATAATTGAGAACGTTACATTTTTCTAGGTGCCGATATCCAAGGATTTGTGGATTCTGGAGGTCGGTACAAGTGTTTTTTGTGTGGTATTTACTACGACCAAATGGTAGATCTCTCGCGTCACTTAAAGCATGAGTGCGGACTTGAATCGAAATTTGAGTGTGGATTCTGTTTTAAAAAATTTAGACACGAAAGTCACCTAAGGGTTCATGTAAATTTAAAACATAAGAGTGAAATGGAAATTATGGCGCAAGGACAACGATAGATACTGATTTAATTTATTTTAAAATAAATAATTGTTTTTGAAGTTGTATTTTATTTATTAATTAACCCATTTATGCATTGTGTACATATTTGATGAAATTTTTAATAAATAGTAAAAACGCTTTGCCAATATGCCTGTAGAGTATTATGATACAAACTTATAGAAATTTTTAGGTGCCGATGACGAGCAAGTTTTTAAGTGTTCGAATTGTCAGAAACAATTTGGAAACCAAACTTCCCGTTGGAGACATACGAATCTTGACTGTAAAAAATTTATGCGTTACAAATGCCCCTTTTGTACTTATTCTGTAAAGCAGAAGCAGAATTTGCATTTTCACGTTGCTAGGTTCCATGAAGAAAAACGAGATGAATTTGTCTACTTGTATAAATTTATTCAACTAGAAACCGATGAAGCATCCCAACGATAAAATGTCCGACAAGCTATTTCCATAAACTTAACAAGTAAATGTATACTTAATTAGTTTTGGGTTGACCTATAGTTTTAATTATGATTTAATATGCGGAATCCACTGTGTATTAAATCATTTTCAATGATATAGTGCTGTTTTGGGGTTGCCAGATGATGTTTTTATTCTTGAGTTTTTCCAAAATTTCCGTAGATTTTGTGTGTATGTGTGTCTGTGTGTGCGTGAGTGTGTATGTGTGTATGTGTGAGTGTCTAAAATTGTTTTATAGTGGTCTGGTATGGTAACCCTGCTTTGTCTTTGCTTTCTTCATGATATGGTGGTAGGTAAATTGGTAAATTCTGAAATGTAGCAGTGATAATAATATTTTGTAAAAATAGGTACTTGTTGCTACTATTATTACTTATAAATATAAATTGTATTCTAAAACTAGTATTGATTTTGCAAACTACGAAAATGTTGTTATCTTTTGTGGTAATTAAATATATCATATGTATATACTCTGTGCACCGTTTTTTACACTTGTCAAAATTTTGAGTGCCTTTTGATTGATTCACATATAATGTCCTTTTTGCAAAAAATGGTACATATGGTTCAGTGGTTTTTAAAACTTCTCGCTGAGGTGTATTTGGGAGGAACCGTTCGTAAGTTTGTTATATTTGTTTATTTTTGGAAAATACATTACGGAAACATAGTTTTACTAGCTGTATTCTACATTTAATATAATATATGTCATGTAATTTGACATTTTTGTACTTGTTTGGTTTATAAGTTTCCGTCAGTTTCTGATTTTTGCTCTTCCTTGGCGTCGATTAACAGAAACATCAGTAGTAGGTACTTTGAAAGAGATATAAAAATAGTTAGTTCTTCTTCAACAGTTACAGGATTGAATCCTCGAAGAGATTTGCCCCACCAAGATTTAAAAAATATGGTCAGTAATATTTTGTATCCTTGCTCTTGTCGAAGTCCTTGCACGCATTTGTGCGACGATACGAAAAAAGAAAACGAAAATACGGTTCGGTTTTCGTGTCCAGTCCCGAATTGTTTGTTCCTATCGAAAACCAAAGAGAATATCCAACAGCACTTACTACAGAAACATGTCGACTTTTGTTTGAAAGAATCTTTTCGGCAAAAGAAGCCGAAAAACCTCTGGGAAGTGGATAATAAGAAAAAAATATAAAAAAAAATCGTCAATTATTTGCAAATGGTGGACGACTGTAAGACCAATTTAGTGCAAATTCGTGTATTTACTGCCCTCTTTTGTAAATATGGTCAAATTGAAAATTGAAACGAATATAATATCTAAACAATTTTGTGCGTTTTACTTTGTTACATTTAAATGAAGTGAATACAGATTTAAGGATGATGCAGTGGCTGTGAAATGTTGTTAAACAATAAATAATTAATTGATCAACATTATAAGGTCGTCAGTCCTAAGACTAGTTGGACACGTACCTCCACTCTTTCCTATCCTGAGCTAACCTTCGGATTTCCCTAAAACTAGAACATCCTTTACTATTTGCGAACAGTAATCTAAAGTAAGTAAAGTCTACCTCTACCCTTCCTAACTCCCGTTTCTGCCTCTAATATGTCTCTGACTAAACCTTCATGCCTGAGAAGGTGTCCTATTAACCTATCTCTCCTATTTCTTATTGACTTCCATAGAGTCCTCTGTTTTCTTACCCTTTCTAATACTTCTTCATTTATAACTTTCTCTATCCACGGTATCCTCATCATTCGCCTGTAACACCACATTTCGAAAGCTTTTNCATTTTTGCCCCAAAAGGTATTAAAGTTTCTTACAATAAAAAGTTCCTCAAAGTCTGATTCACACACGCCTGTTGGATATACCTACTACAACTTCACACTTGTCTCACCAGTACAATATGGTGGCACACCAGTACAATATGGCGTCGATTCATGGCGTTATCAGCGCTGGCCAGTATTTTGGGTTATATTTAGGAACACACCCTATTAATTTTACGTCTTACCGTTGATTAATGGGACTTGGGACATTTTTAAAATCCAAAGTACGAAAAGAAAAAACGCGTGTGTTTACATTTTGTGTTACTTTTAAGAATGGTGGATGTTGATAGAAACAATAATGTCGAGTTATCGAAATAAAAGTTTGATGAAAATAAGTTGTTATTTATTTCTACGGATATTTTTATTATTCAAGACTTTTCACTTCGCATTTGCTATCGAAAGTTTAATTTTTAGTTAATTTACATTTTATCCATTTCCTTTATTGCAGAATATCGAGAATGTGAAAACTGTAAAGGTTCATACCTGCCAGCTTACAAAAAGCGTCACCTACGGACTTGTGGCATTGCTCCTTTTTTAAAATGTATTCTGCCGAATTGTCCATATAAAACCAATACAAAGGATAACATGAAGAGACACATGATTCTCAAACACAAGATTGCTTTAGATGACAGGTCATAAATACTTAATGCCAAGAAATTTTACGAAAATATTGTTTTTATAATTGTAATAAAACAGTGTAACTTCCATTCTACATGTGAAATGGGAAAATAACTGTAGTTTAGAGATAAAAAGTTTATTGTGTAAAGTGTTAATGTATGTAGAAGGTTTAGGAATCTCGAAACTTTAACTTAGATTTAAGTTCTCTTTTTTTTTTTTAATATTTTATTTATTTATTATTAAATGTAATCATATTTCTAAGGAGCCATGTAAATAATAAACCAGGTGTGCTGTTTTTGCAGTGGGGGGATACAATAGAAACAGTTATTTGCTGGTTTATCTAACGTAATCTATTTTCAGAATTTTTGGAATTGGATCAGATAATACCACCAGAAAATAGCTACCTGCTCGAGAGCATTTTGACTGGCGAAACGACGCCTAAGCGTGCAACTAAATCGTCAAAAAATCGTTTAATGAGAAAGTTTCAGATCCTCAGCGATGACACTATTCGACCCGGTTACAGTAAAGACTCGCAATTCGCGTGCCGTCACTGCGGTAAAAAGTACAGGTGGAAATCGACTATGAGAAGGCACGAGCAAGTCGAATGTGGCGGTAAAGAACCCATGTTCCAATGCGTACTGTGTCCATACAAAACCAAACAAAAGGGAAACTTGGGCGTCCATGTGCGAAAGTACCACTCGAATTCTCATTCTCCAACTCAGAAGCTTTCCTCGTCCTAGGGAACTGATGTTAAAGAAAAATTACAAGTGTATACTCTAATAGCGACTGTGGTAATAAAACTTTCAAGAGATCCGTTAGCTTCTGTGGTCGAGGTCGATTCGAACCTTATTTTTAGTGGCAATGTTATGGAAAGATAGTCTGTGTCTATCTTTGCAAAAGCTTTCAAATTGTTTCGTTTGAATGGTGCCGTAGCAGGCAAAGGGCGGTAACTGGATGACAAGTTTTATTACCTCAGCTGCTACTTTAAAAATATCAGAGTATAGATTCAACTACCTACAGAAAAATATTTTATGAGTTGTGGATATTTTAGTTAAATTAGACATAGTTTGTAACGTACTGTAACTGATTATTAAAAAACTGCGTCGCGACGTTAAAATGGGTAAAGCAATATTTTTGGTTTATTCAGAACACAGGCATTAAGCATTGTGCAATAGAAAGGAACAATTAATGTCGTTTTTTATAGCAATATAACGCGAAAGTTTCGAACACATTGTGCCTTTTTATAAACCTTGGGCCCAATTTAGTTTGTGGTCGTTTGTACTACAGCAGATACCAAACAAGGCTTTTAGGGGCTACCAATAAATTACGTAATGTAAAGTTTATAAATTCTTAACCGATTCCCCATTCCTCTTCCCCTTCTTCCAAGTTTGTTTAGGCGGCGTGAATTAAAGAAAAGGGCGCTTCAATATCCAATACTAATAATTCAATTTTAAATAAATTTTGAAATTGTGTGGCGCTAACCTCGACCCCTCACCCCCCATGTAGTAGAGCCATAACCGTGACCCCCGGCTGCATTCTCCCTTCATCCATTTTGTTTTAATATCTAATACAAACCATTCAATTTTAAATAAATTCCTAAATTGTGTGGCACAAACCTTGACCCCTCTCACCCCCATGTTTTAGAGCCGTGGCCGTAACCCCCGGCTGCATTCCCCTTTTTCCAATTAGTTTTAATATCCAATCCAAACTATTTAATTTTAAATACATTCTGAAATCGTAACCCCCCCCCCCAATCTGCATTACGTAATTTATGACCAGTCCCTTAAGAAGTTTGCCTGAGTGTTAACGTACTAATATGTATAATCAGACATCTGAGTACTGAAAAGCTTGAGATAATTGATGCCTTCAAGAAATGAAAATTAGTGCCTTATAAAAAAGTAGCCTATGAAATTCTATACATATTATTATTATTATTAAAGATATATATATTTTTAAAGAAGATTATATCTATATATATATATCTTACGTAGTTATGATACGTAAGTTTTAAAGTGTAATAAGGTTTTATGTTTATATAGGTATTAGAAAACAAGAAAAGAAAAATTAATACGAAATATTTAATGTTGTTCAGCAAAACCAAATATATTGAGCTGTATGGTGCTTGGCTTTAACTGATTCTTGTTCACGTTGTATAAATGAATAGTTTTTATACATATAGATAGATATTTGTTTATATACATATTTTCATTTGTTGTTAACTTTCAAACACTGCTGTAAAACGTTAAAGTAAGTGTGAATTAAAATGTTTTTAAGTTACGAGTTAGAAAAGGATTCTGATTGATTTGAAATAATTTTACACATAAAGGGCAATAGTACCACTTATTAATTTCAAGTATCTACCCTTATTCAGTTGAAAAGTTTCATTTAGTCAGAGTGCAATATCCATTATACAAATAAACAAAATTTGATTTATCTAGTTGATTAAAGAGGTTTGCATATTTTATATTAATTTCTATTGACGGGGTAAATTGTTTAGTTGATATTCTGACGATTTAAAATTATTTAAATCTAATTAAATGTAGTGTTATAGGGTTATGGTGAATGGTTATTAATTTTAATTGCTTTAATTAGGTACATATATTATTGTTTAAAAAAATAATATTGTATCATTGCTATTATTTTTTGTTTGTTTTAATCAAGTTAATCTGAACATAGTACAATGGTTTTAATTACGGTTTGTTGTATAATTTTACATGAAACTTATCATTATTATTAATAATATTATTTTTATTATGTTGTTATATTAAAACTGTTTAGTCTTTTACGTGCATCACAGATGCATAGAATTGTTAGCATAAATAAGTTTTTGTAACTTTATTACTTGTTTGTTGTACAGAACATTAAGATTAGAAATAAATTAATTTCATGTTAATAAAGTGTTGGCTAAATTGTTTCTAATTTGCTAATTTTCTTGTTATCACATCATAAATTTTCACTGCGACACTTGATATTATATTAGGGTTGGCTAACGACGGAAAGTAAGAAAGTCCATCGGAAGTGTGTTCCTAATAAAGCAGAGACATCGTGTATCTCTCTTTATTTTGAGCAGGCACAGTCAGTTGTCGTCTACGCTGGCCAATCGAATGTATTTATTTTGAGCAGAGACAGTCAGTTGTCATCTACGCTGGCCAATCGAATGTATTTATTTTGAGCAGACAGAGTCAATTGTCACCTATGCTGGCCAATCAGAGTTCGAATGTATTATGATATTTTTGTAGGTAAGTATTTCACCTTTTTAAAAAAATTGCAAGGTTTTCTGATTATCCGCAGCTTTATAAAAATTCGTGATTGTAACTTTTTGTGATTTGTTTCAGAATACTCACTATTATATGCCTTTTCTTGTCACCACTGCGGAAGGAAATACAAAAGAAAGGGATCATTGAGTCGACATTTACGTCTTGAATGCGTGACAGCGAAAAAGTTCCTTTGTACAGTATGTAATAAGAAGTTTACCAGAAGAACCACATTAACAGCACATTTTCATAATGTTCACAAGTTTAGTTAAATAATAAATTACTAATAATTTATTGTAATTATTTTTATCTTGATTTTTTCGAGAATTAGGTATAAAGAAACGGTTATTTAACTTATATTCTTAATTAACAAATATTTTATCAAAGGTCCAATAAGAAGTTGTGAACAATGTATATGGCTTCTTTTAATAATTTTAAATGTAAGACATCTTTTGATAGTGATCCTTTGGTTGAAGCAATTGTAAGAGTGATATTTTAAATATACGTCGTTGAAATAATTGTTGTGTTAATTTTTGAAAAGTAATTACGTATTATATTAGTTGTGCACCATCAATAGTTAGAATAGTACCTATTTCTTTGCCTTGGTTATTGTTGATTTCCGTTTCTGTTATAATATCGTATCTTTTTTGATTTGTTAGATAAATTAACAGGTATTACCAGGTATCCATTTATTAGGATTAATTTCATCTTCGTTTTTCAGACGACTTCAGATTTTGCAATGATAACAACGATACAGATC